CCTTGGCTTAACCCCATTTGAAATCCTATTTGGCAGACCACCCCCTATCCTACGAAACTTAAAGTCTGAAATGACTGCAGAGTTCAATGAATCAAACTTTCGCTCTTCTCTTGACTTGTTATATATAATCCAGCAGCAACTGTGGTCCCAACTCCAAGCTGTGTATGAAAAAGACCCACCACCAAACCTCATGGTTACTGACCTGGAGACTGGGTATATATCAAACGCCACCATAGAGAAACTCTCAAGCTGAGGTGGAAAGGACCATATGTCATCATCTTAACCACCCCAGCTGCTGTCAAGGTAGATGGAATCACCACATGGATCCATCATTCCCATGTCCTGCCTGCTGATCCCCATGCAGAGAAAGGACTACCAACCTGCTTGGAAGATCCAACTGTCTGGAAACCCGTTAAAGCTCAAGTTGATGAAATGCTCACCCAGGGACAGCATCTAATGTTCTTCTTCACCCTGCTAACATCCCCTTCCCTCTTTGCCCTGAACAACCCTCACATTCCAGTCAATGTCACCTGGAAAATCGTAAGTGCCATTACGGGTTGTACTGTAAATCAGACTTCAGGCTTGCACCCTCCCAATACTTGGTGACCGACCCTTCATTTTGATTTATGTATGCTCGCAGAGGAAACTTGGGACATGGATAGTGTGGGAACACAAGGAATGGGGGAGCTCCATGGCGGGTCCTGGAACCCAGGTTGTACATATCCCTCACAGCAAGCTGGACTGTGGGACATGTACTTCTATATATGCCCTGGGACAGGGAGGGGATGAGATCAAGTGAAAAAGTGTAGAGGCCCCCAGGACTTTTACTGTTCATCCTGAGGTTGTGAATCTTCTGGCTGGTTCAACTGGGATACCCCCATGAATACGGACCACATCCAAGTCCAGAAAGCCCCCAGGTCCACCTTACCTGGGTGGACATCAACTGGCATAAAAGGATAGGATGGGCTCACCACCCTTGGGGGACCATGTAGCTCCTTTTTATGCAACCCCCTGACCATAACCTTCACTGACCAAGGAAAGAAAACTCGGGAGTGGGAAACAGGCAAAACATGGGGACTAAGATTATATCAGCCTGGATATGACAATGGACTTCTCTTTACCATTCAAAGACTAGAATGACCCATCACAGCCCCCGTAGTGGCACCCGTAGGGTCAAACTCATTTCTAGATACTAAATCTCAAGTTGGACCTCCCCTGCAGCCTTGGAGATCCACAGACAAACACAGGACCTTCACTAACCCCTCCCCGTCAGGCTCCGAGCCTACAATACTAACAACTCAAGGGACCAACTCTATCTGGAATCTCTTACAGAGTACCTACCCGGTTTTGAATTCTTCACACCCTAATCTAACTCATGAATGCTGGTTGTGCCTCAGTCCCCAACTACTTTTCTACCAAGCCTTAGCTCTCAATGGAACTTTTAATAGTTCCCAAATTTCTAGCCATTGTCACTGGGAAAAGGAAAAAATTAGAATAACCCTTCAGGAAATACAAGGCCAGGGAACTTGCCTACTCTCCTCACCCCCTTAAAACACTCCTCATTCTCTGTGCAGGGGGGCATATATAAAGCTCAAAATAACAGTTACTACTTTCCTGGCCCAGCACTTGGTGGGCTTGCTCCTCAGGATTAACTTCCTGTGTGCACTGCACGGTCTTAAATCAGGCCCCAGGGTATTGCATCATAGTTCAGCTATTTCCTACTATAACCTATTTTTCAGAAGACCAAATAGAAATTGCCTTCTCCCTGCCCCTAACAGGCCCCAGAACAAAGTGAGCCATGGGAACTGCAGCAGTTCTCTCATCCTTGATAAGACTGGGAATAGTTGGTGCCACTAGAGTAGGGACCTCCACTCTCATAATACAGGATAAAAATTACCAAGAACTCAAAACAGCCATTGATTTAGATTTAAACGGGATAGAAAATTCAGTTAGCCACTTAGAAGAATCCCTGTCCTCATGGGCAGAATTAGCATTGCAAAACCAGAGAGGACTAGACCTTCTCCTCATGCAACAAGGTGGTTTGTGCACTGCACTAGGGGAACAGTGTTGTATCTACACAAACCACTCTGGGGTAATCAAAGACTCCGTGGCTTGACTATGCAGGAGACTAAGGGAAAGAGAATTAGAACAACAGCAACAAACTTCCTGGTATGAATCTCTTTATAACTGGTCCCCATGGCTCACCACCCTAATTACTGCCCTCATTGGTCCTGTGATACTCCTTATTCTCATTCTAACTTTTGGCCCCTGTATTTTAAATAAACTAGTTTCCTTTATTAGAGATAGAATTAACACCATCCAACTTTTAGTATTAAAAATGCAGTACCAGCCCTTAGAACAAGAAACCCCTCTCAACCCATGACCCTCCCCTGCCTGGCTAACTGCAAATTTCCGCTTTTGTGTAACTGCTTACTTGCTCACATTCTGCGCTTTGAGCTCAAGATTTGGCTCAGTTAGTTTCCAGCTCAAGGGGGAAATGAAGAGACCAAAGTGACACCATCTTGCATACTCACACCCCCTAACGGCCACTCAAAATGGCCAACATCGTTGGGGGCAGGGAACCTGCAGAACCCCACACACCTGACCCTTCCCAGTCAGGCCAGGTAGAGTCAGCCAATCAGCTAAAGACACACAGCTTTGGACAGAAAGTGCCTAACTACAGGGCATGCTAATTACAGGAACTTCAGCTTCAACCAGTCCTTTCGGGGATTGAGTTTTGGCCAACCTCCCACGAGATTGATCCAACGACCAATCCCCGACCAGATCCAAAGTGGACCAATCACCCAGGTACTGCACTCTCTTAAATGTATAAAACTACTTTAGCCTTTGTAACGGGGTGGCCCCCTGTGCAGTTCTGCTGTCCGGTGGAATGGACCAAGCATATGCTTGAATAAAAGACATTCCTTTGTTTTTACATGTGTGTACCATGGTCTCTCAGTGGTGACTTCAGTCCTTACAGTATCTTCACAGTGGAGATCCCTTCTGTGTTTCACAGTTTTTCTCAAAGGAGATAACTATAACTGGTTCACAATAGGATACATAGATGATCAAAAATATTAATTCCTGGGTGGCACCTGTGGCTCAATGGGTAAGGCACCAGCCCCATCTACCTACTGTGGCAGGTTCAAACCTGGCCCCGGCCAAACTGCAACAAAAAATAGCCAGGCATCGTGGCGGACGCCTGTAGTCCAGCTACTTAGGAGGCTGAGGAAAGAGAATTGCCTAAGCCCAGAATTTGGAGGTTGCTGTGAGCTATGACACCATGGCATTCTACCCAGGGCGATAAAGTGAGACTCTGTCTCTAAAAAAAAAAAAAAAAATTAATTCCCTTCTTTCCCCTTCAATTTTCATTATCACACTGCCCACTTAATGTACCCTTTGTGATCTTAGAATATTCAAGGTACCTCTTCTGCTCTACCAATTTTGTTACAGTTTTTTCCAGCCTTATAATGTGTAATTTACCACCTTTTTTGTTTTGTTTTGTTTTGTTTTAGACAGAGTCTTGCTCTGTTGCCTTGGGTAGAGTTGCAGTGACATCATCCTAGCTCACAGCAGCCTCAAACATGCCACCGCACCCAGCTGATTTTTTTTTTTTTTCTATTTTTGGTAGAGATAGGGTCCTTGCCCTTGCTCAGGCTGATCTCAAACTCCCAAGCTTAAGGGATCTCCCTGCCTCAGCCTCCCAGAGTACTAGGATTACCGGCATGAGCCACTCCACTGGCCTGATATATCACTTAAAAAATACAAAGGCCATTTCTTTTCTGTGCTTTTCACTATTCTACAAATGGTGACCATCTCCCAAGAGGATGTTCTTAGAGCCAATTAGGGCTATGAGCCCTGGCGAAGGAGGTCGGTCAGGTAAAGGAAGAGAGACATGCTGTCCCCTGAGGAATAGGTTCCTCTTCCACTCAGTTCAGCTGGTGGATATATGTGATTCATAGCATGTTTGCTGTTCTTCACTCAAGAGCGCTTCACCTCCATCACCTCAGGCCTTTGTTCTTCCTTAGATTCGTGGGTCTGAGAATGTGTTAGCACCCACATCTCTTGTGGCCTACTGACCTTTAAATCCTCCCCCCAAGAAATTTCCGTCTAGTTACAGACTTAGTCATTTTTGCCATGGCTACTCTTGAACTTTCTGGACGTCTGCTTCTGCTTCCTCTTCTTTGAAAACAAGAAGAGTGTAGATTAAAATCTGGCAGACTTCTCCTGTGAAGAGTCAGAGAATAAATATTTTAGGCTTTGCAGGCTGATAACTCAAACCTGCCTGAAAACAGCCACAATCTGTCCATGAATGGGTATGACTGGGCACCAAAATTTGTGAGCACTAAAATTTGAATTTTTTCTCCTTTCCATGTGTCATGAAACAGTCTTCTTTTTCTTTTCTATC